ACAATAATTATAAGCCAGAATTTGATTCTAGGGGGGTCGATTTTCATCTTCCCTTAGTACCTTAACACTTTAAACGACCCTCTATTGAAGCTCTATGGTATTCCCCTTGGTTGAGGTTGGTAAATGAACTGGCCCAAGATGAAAAGGACTGGGACATTCTGTTGAGATCGCGGAATGGTTCATGACATCGGTGGCTGAAGCGTCATCTAACTTCCGTAGCTGGAACCAAGTCTGTTTCGGTGACTGCCAGATTTCATATGTCAATTCGTTTGCTCTCTAACGTTATGCCGACCATTTTTTTTAATTTGGCAGCAGCTTTTTTTAAAGTATCATAAATGGTTGCACGTGGAGGAATGAAAAAACTTCGCGGGCTTCACATCGTGTAGCGGAACCGTCAATGGTGCTAGTGTACTTTAGTGTGCTTTTGTTAGTAACTTATCCTGTTTTTTTGCCATATTGAGCAGCGTACTTCCAGGAGGTTTGTGGAACACCGTTTTCAACGGATATTATTATTTTAATCGCGATGAATATGAATACGTGACCCCGGAGTCAATGGCGGTGTTCGATTGAGGTCGGGTTCGTCCCTTGAAAAGAGGTCCCAGAGCCAAGCGGTATGATCTCTGTACCGAAGACGTTATTTGCATGTTGAAATTTTCCCAGCTGAAACATGCAATTGAAGACCCAAGGTCTGAGAGGACTTCGGTAACAGCAACAGCACTGCGACTGTTAGGGCACCGCAAAAAAAAACAACCATCTCTCTGTCACATAGTATAGAGATGATCTATATGTTCAGCCACCTCATGAACCAACGGTCAGCATGTAATCTTTAACCCAATCGCATCGCGCGTCAGGCGAAGGCAGTAAAATTCTGTATCAAATAAGCTGAAAAGTAACTTGATGCGGATGGGTTGAAAATAGAAGTGCTGGGCGGTCGGGACCGAATGTGCAGTTTTTTCTGCTTCTGAAGAACTGCGACTGTTAGGGCACCGCAAAAAAAAACAACCATCTCTCTGTCACATAGTATAGAGATGATCTATATGTTCAGCCACCTCATGAACCAACGGTCAGCATGTAATCTTTAACCCAATCGCATCGGTAGACGCATTGGTACACAGCGTCCTTTGTCCTTCCCCGTAGCCTATGACCTGGAAAGGCAAAGGCTTGTAGGCCAGCGCGCAGTCCGCTTCCGTCATTTTAAGACATAGTTTATTCGACTTTTCATTGAACTACGCCTACCCAACTTTTATCTTCACGACCCGCCAGCCCTGGCTTACACGTCAAAAAAGACGAAGACTTCGAAGTTCATACTTCGACATTGAAGGAATATTCTCTCACCCTCTTATGCAACCAATCTGGTGGCGATAATGATTCTGAATAGGGAAAATGAGAATGCGAGCTCGTCACTGCGGAGAATTCCCGGAGAAGTTCCCTTCATTGGCAGGTGAGTCGTGACATTAACGGACCTGTGAGATCGACGGTAGGGGTTGAGAAATGGTTCGTGTCGATTAAATGGGCGATTACAGAAGGCAAGCATTCGCTTGGCGTGCAGAGACTTTCACGCCGAGGAGCGTGAGTTACTGCATATGTATATCTATTTTTACAAGTTCTCGTGCTGTTCTTGAAAGCGAGTGCCTCGGCGAGGAAGAGCAGGGTATTTCGTAAAACCAACCGATTCAGTCGCATGTGGACCTGCGGAGGGATCCCCTCGAAATTGCTGCCACTCGGGCATTTCCTCGCGATCATGTTGGCGGTCGGAGTAGTCCTCGAGTTGGCAGAAGCGGTTTTAGCGGGAGGGGTCACAGTTGGGGTGGTGACCTTCATCATTCTGAGTCGAGAGGAAGCCTAAGTGTTGATTGTGGTGAAGGCAACATTGATTGGTGATGGGGTGGAAAGTGTGGTGGAGGTGATGGGAATGGTTGAGGCAGTGGAGAAGTAGGTGGTGGAGATTTCCGTGGTAGTGGAGATGGAAGTGATTGAAACCATTCCCTCATATTGTATTAATTGTACAGACACAATTCATTCACTGTCATATCATAAGTGAGAAGTATTGCTTCGATTTGTGAATGGATGAGTAGCTCCTGCATCATTCTTTTAAGCGGTTTTATGACTCACAGGTAAAAATCAATACTTAATCTCAAAATGTTCTTCATGATAAAGCTTTCTGATTGATATTGTGCGGTATGCTGCAGTACATAAGTCTAGGAATTTTCTCGCTCGAAAATCTCATTGCCGTGTTCATCAATCGAAACATTATAATACAACGAAGAAACACTAACATGAAATTTTTGTCCAGTTTACAGAGTTCAGTATCTGTTACACATCAAACTACGTTCTCGCGGATGAATGAACTAAATTTCCGTCCAGATTCAGATTGGCCACGGTCCTCGTCCAAAAGCCAGGAATGAAAAGACACAGCAATGTGTTCTATCAGACCCAAGAAGACTCGATGAGGCTTCCCTAAAGTTTGATCCGCCTATGGTTCAGGTAGGGTTGGTGTGATCGATGATATCAAGACATAAGTAGTTTTGTCCATCTAGATAAATAAATTCCGAAAATCCGAGCATAATGAATGAATCAAATCGTCTTCTGCGTAAGAAAAAATAAGCATTTCCGTTTGTGAATCTGGAGCTTTTAGTAAATATTCTGCAAGAATTTTCATGACGGACTTATCCTAATAGGATTTCCTCAGCAGGTCAAACGGGTAATTAATGCAATCGTTGAATATTCAAAGGATATTTGAATTAAGCAGACCGTGGACGGTATGTAAAGCACTAAACTCCTTCGATTACTTCTCGGACATATTCCATTCAAACGTTATTTGCCCGCTCCTTAGGATGCAAGCCTCCACAAACGTGAAGAAGGACGTCGGTGCCAAATCAAAGACATGCTGGTGGTTTTGTGGAAGACAGGCCTTTAACGACATAATTCTCGCTGCAAGGGTGTGATCACTTTTTCCCCCAGAGATTATTCCTTCGTATACATTCCTGACTATTGCTGCGCTGGCCTGCGGTTATGATTTTTCACGATGACAACATTTCTAAGCCTTTCTTGCGAAATATTCCATACGAAGAAATGAAGTACAGATTGAAGAAAAGTAGTGAAGCAATTACTTTTTGCCTTTAGCTGGATTGCACGTGGAAAAAATACGGTAAGTTCCATTCGACTGAACAGCGAGGTGCTGAAGATACGTTTAGGGCTATCCCGTTTAATGCCGTCGTGGATCCAGCAAAGAAAGCTGCCCAACAAAAGAACCCGCGTATCACGAGATGACCCGAAGTAATCACAGCCATGGAGCTATATCCTTTGGTTCCCTCACTTTTTGGGTCATGAAATATCGCTCAAATAAACGTCCCATTCCTTCAGTCATAGGCACATTAAACAACGCTAAAAAAAATTTTCTGGACACACTATGACTCGAACCCGTCGTATATAAAATTCACGGTACACGCAGATGTTACTTGGAGGGACTGAACTGAGTCCGCATGAAGACAGTCAACAACTTTGCTTCATTGGTGTCTATGAATATCATCCTTCATTTTATTTTCAGATTCATGTTCAAGGAAAGTAGCCATTATGTGATGTGAAGCAACAACCTCGGGAATCACGTAATGCACTCTCATCTGGAAATACCTGAGGAGACAAAATATTTATACATCACGATATTAAATACATACTTAAGGACTACATTGCTGGAATCTCATTTAGTATCTTTGGCACAGAATTTGCAGCGGTTTGTCTTAGCATGATAATGAATATAGGGGAACATGTCAAAGCACCCAGAGTTGAAGGACGAGTCTATTGCTAAAAGTTGGACTCCTGGAAAGCTTTCTTGAGTAGAGAGAAATGATGAGAACAACCCAAATCCCATCGAAAGTTTGTTTAAAATGCTGTTCAAGTGTGTACGAGACCAATAATGACATTCGAATGAACTTGTCAGTGTTGCCATGGCCATGCTTTTGGACATGACCATGACCAGAAAATTATAAAAATGTATAAATTTCCGAAAGTTTGAGCTTTTAATCGTTCTTCCCATCACAGCCTCAAATGGAAATAGAGCGATGGAATCAAAAATTTTCTCATGCAGAGGCCAAGCAACAAACATTACGCAAACATAGAAAAGCATAAAATAGAGAGCTCCTTCCTGCCAGTAATTGAAATTTAGAGGAAATGGTTCCAATTTCATCTTTCATACGTAAACGGTGTGGATGCATAAAGCCAAGGAAAGCATCCGAAGAAGTTGGATGTAAGCATTGCCTGGTCCTTCGTGCGATGCTGGAAGCAAACGAAATAAAATTGCACTTGGAAATACATTGCTCCGCGGTAATATATCAAAGCTTTCCTTAATTTTCTTAAATGTGTACATGATATTAAGATAACTGCTACAAAAGCGCAGCAGAACTAGCAGGAATACAATTCTTGAGGCTCCAAGTATCAAATTTGAAATTCAAGAACTCGATTGTTCAATTTAAACTGCAAATGCTAGGAAACTCGCTGCACACAAGCACGTGGAGTCGGAGGTCTTCGTACTCATGCTTCATTAACTCTATGTTCATTCATTCATGCTATGTTCAATTTCCCCCACGTCACTGTGTGTAATTCGTGCGTCAGGTAAAGTAGAAGTGACGAAGAATGAACACGAAGAATGACGCGAGTCACGCACCCTAGTTACGATACTATACCCATATCCATACTCAGTACGTTTTTCTAACCACTTCTTGCATGCCCAAGCATGGTCAAAGAACTTTATTCATGAAGCAAGCCTCGATCACCTCCAGGTGTCATGCAATCATTGTTTAATTTCGACTCAATAGGAATAAAGCAGCGAGTGACCTACCAGCGATTGGTCGTGATAGAGTTCGGACAGCATAGAACAGTAACGACCTATGAAGGGAATCGCAGTAACTAACTAGTGATGGTCATTTGGTCTCCATATTCAGGCAGTTGACGGTATTAAATCGTGACGTCACTGAATATGTCAGCCTTCCAACTCCAAAACGATTCCTCTGGTAAGTGACCCGTCGTTGACCGTTTTACCCCACTACAGCAAACAAAGAAGATAAGAAATGAAAGCCTTCGCAAGGCGGACTGCGCTTCCTCCACCTTACCTGCTTTCGGACGTATGAGCTACTGGGAGGGAAGATAGGGATGAAAGGGGATGACAGACGTTACTTCCCTTTGCTTCGTCTGCCATCCAGAGCCTCACCAGCCCCAAAGGCGCGAAGAAACCGGAACAGCACAGGGTTAGGAAGGGTCCTGGAGTAGGGTGAGACGGGAACAATATATGAATCCAACTTTCGACGGAGAAAGAGAGTTGGATCAGCGCGAGGGAAAGCCACTCCGGTAAGTCGGTAAGTTGACAAATTTACAGGTATCGTGAAGAGAGAAACTCACGCTTTCAGGAAAAGAACGAGCGGGGCATATCCTGGAATGAAAACCATCTCCTGATTGGTTAATACTCCGCTCATGATCTTATCCACAACGTCCTCTGGCTTCAAGGCAGGTATGATTCTTGCGGGGGAAAAGAAAGCAGCATTCACCATTACTTCGGACGCATTAAATCCATAATGCCCGGAAAGTTTTCAATTTCAAAGGGCATAATACATCACTCACGGATTTACATTTTCATCAATTAAATCCAGGTTAAGTCACGTCTGATATATATCTATTACGTAAGAGCATATTCCAAATTTGTACGTGTTGATAAGTGCCGAGTGATACCACCTGAGACTGTGATTCCATCACATCCTTTCTTGCTTAATGGTGCAATCGAACGCTGAAGCCTTAGAGCATTCTGAACGATTCGAGGAAGAACTGACCGACTTGTGATGCCTGTGGACATCGGCGTGTCTATCAGGAAAGGGTTGACGACCGTCGTCTTGATGCTCCTATGCCCATCCATCTGCGAAACAAGAGANGCCTTAGAGCATTCTGAACGATTCGAGGAAGAACTGACCGACTTGTGATGCCTGTGGACATCGGCGTGTCTATCAGGAAAGGGTTGACGACCGTCGTCTTGATGCTCCTATGCCCATCCATCTGCGAAACAAGAGAACACGAAGAAGCACGTAGCATAATAGGATGCAGCCTGTTGCGAAGTCGTGCAATATGGTTAACATCGAAGTGCCGAGGTCGCGACACATTCCAAATCCCGGGGAGCATTGACGACTGGGCTAGCAAACTGTGGGGATTTCGCTCCATATTGAACATCAAAACCGGGAAATCGGCTTAATCAAAGATAAATTATTTTCTCACTTGTAAAAAACGATCGTCCCTGGCATTAAATTTGCCATTACATCTGCGAAATTCGCATCGGAATCTGCCTGTTTCGATTTCTCAGCTATCATGATTCCTGAAAAAATATCAAGACCTCTTCTTTATGACCATTGATATGACGCAAAATTAAGTTCCCAGGCCTCTTGCCCGTAGCCGCAACCTGAATTTCATAATTCTTTTGTTTCACGAAAGACCCATGAAATTTGGACTAGTGGAAACCCGAAGCAAACTTCCGGGCAACGCCGACAAGCTTCGTACCGTCTGGTAGTCCCCCACAACCCTGGACCTTCACCTATTAACACATAAGTTAGGCCTAAAAGTGACCCTATTTATTTCAAACTTGCGATTGGCACAACACGGCATCAGCACAATATCCTGGCTCGTGACCCAGTCACGAGTCCATTGCCCTCTTTACATTAGCTCTGAATGGCTGAAATGACCCTGCCAGCCTAAGAATAGGAGGAGGTACTCATCATTATCAATTACTACATCCCAATCACAAACTCTCCCAATCATTAACCAATCGCTCACCAATTGTGGAGTACTAGCCTTAGCTATATCAAATATTCACGTTTTTTTATGAGTTGCGTGCATTGAGACGAGTAATTCTTCATAGTTTTCTAATAGCGGCGAACTCACCGGTTACCTGCGTACGCCGATATCATTGAGGATAGCCCTTACGTTTTTGACGATCCGGAATCCGGTCCACTTGGATTTGAGATAAATCGTATGACACCATGAGATATTCACATGTACCCTTTCAATGTGAGTTAACGTAGCCTTGTGACAAGAAAAATGCACAAATATTTCCCGTACCAGCACTCCTACTCGCGATCAGATTCATTCAAAATCATCCAGGGAAAAATCACTTCGGCTTCTACTTTTATAACTCTTTAAGCCTACACTCCTGAGAGAAACGAGCTTCGAAATTACAAATGAACGTGTACCTTGAGTTCAGTACGAAGAGCCTCGTCGAAACCAACAGCAGCAAATTTGGAAGCGCAATAGTCGACAAGTCGATTGATTCCCCAGAAGCCGCCGAGACTTGCAACGGTCACCACATGACCTTTTCCCATCTTCAGCATCTCTGGCAGGAATGCCTTTGTGGTCTGTGGAAAAAAAATGGCGTCCAACATGAGTCCAGGATCCGCCACCTAAAGTAAACAGAGTACTTAAAGGGAATCATCTGTGGTGTCGTAAGGTGTTCCAACTAAGTGCCGCGCAGTTGGAGTGGTTTCGCTGCAGGAAATAACCAAATATCCAATCGCATGTCATGGCTGACGTCACGAGGAGAATACCCAGAAATGGGAGATGGCGTTGACGTCCATGGTGCGCTGGATGATAGCGTCGGGGCAATCCAGGAATCTATTCCCCGCCATGAACCCGGCATTGTTGACCAGGATCGTGACCTTCCCGACTTCTTCTTCCACTCGCTTTGCCGTCTTGTAGATCTCCTCTCGATTACACAGATCCACCTTGTACGCATGTGCTGTTCCTCCCTCTGACTGGATCATATTCACCGTCTCCTTGTTTCCTGACAACGAAAAAAATTCAAGTATTTCATTGTCTCCAACAGATCAAAGTATTGCAAATGCGCATGACTAATCGGAATTCTGCATTCTGCAGATATACTGTANCCGCGCAGTTGGAGTGGTTTCGCTGCAGGAAATAACCAAATATCCAATCGCATGTCATGGCTGACGTCACGAGGAGAATACCCAGAAATGGGAGATGGCGTTGACGTCCATGGTGCGCTGGATGATAGCGTCGGGGCAATCCAGGAATCTATTCCCCGCCATGAACCCGGCATTGTTGACCAGGATCGTGACCTTCCCGACTTCTTCTTCCACTCGCTTTGCCGTCTTGTAGATCTCCTCTCGATTACACAGATCCACCTTGTACGCATGTGCTGTTCCTCCCTCTGACTGGATCATATTCACCGTCTCCTTGTTTCCTGACAACGAAAAAAATTCAAGTATTTCATTGTCTCCAACAGATCAAAGTATTGCAAATGCGCATGACTAATCGGAATTCTGCATTCTGCAGATATACTGTACTAATATATTTTTATTCCGCTATTTGAATTAGCTGGCAGAAACTGTGAGGAACTGAAGAAAAATACTGATTTGACGAGATTGATTGAAATTAGCGTTTTGTGGTAAAATAGCAAATCTCTACGTTTGTAACGTTGACAACTGTCCATCAAGTGATTTCCACACTTTTATCTCTGAATCAATTGCAGAGAATATCACTTGGGGAGGAGAAAGGGACAGAGAACGTTTCGTACGTTGACAATTGTCATTAATCTACATACTCAACACGTGGGAGACCAACTCAGCAAGACTAACAAACAAAAAAGAACTGATGCCATTACCATCAGGTTGGTGCTGCACCTTTACCCTCATTACCCTTACATTCCAGGAAGTCCGGTACGGCATGTAGGGGAGAGAGAAAAGCCAATCAGTAGACGCATGACGTATGATCTTCCATGGAGAGCAGAAAAAATCCGGTTTTTTTTTCATTCGAAGATAAAACGAGACAAATTTAAATGCTCTCCCTCCTCCAGTACAAACGATTAGCCATTAAAATCCCGCTGAGGTATTCAGCCTACGTACGTCTTATTAAATCTCAAGATCTGTCAAGGTCACTACAATCCCATCTTTACGAAGTGTTTTTTTTTCTTCAATTAATTGACTGTGACTTTCCATTGACTATGACTGAATATTGTAAAATACGCCGCATGCTTGCGGTGAACGGCAAAAGGACCGACCTTCCAGCAGTGAGCACGAGGCGAAGTGATTTTCCTCGGACTCACCTTCGGCATCGACGTCCCAGGTGACAACCTTGCAGTTCAATCTGGAGAACCTGAGGCACATGATCCGTCCGATCCCGGAGGCCCCCCCCGTGACGAGCACCACTTGGCCCGAGACATCCTTGCATCGAAACCGAAACGGCACGAGCCAGAGCAGCAGATATTCCAGCCAGGAATATGGGATGAGGAGCGCCCCAGTCCGATCCCGGAGGCCCCCCCCGTGACGAGCACCACTTGGCCCGAGACATCCTTGCATCGAAACCGAAACGGCACGAGCCAGAGCAGCAGATATTCCAGCCAGGAATATGGGATGAGGAGCGCCCCAAATAATATATCCACGATATCCATCGTCACTTCCAGCCGACAGCACCGAGTCCCTCGCGAAGCGATCGGACGTGGAGAGAGGAGTCGGTCTGCAAGTATGCATGTCGATAGCATCCGTGTTATCTACTCGACGGGGAAGAAGGAAGATAGACAGTTTGTTTATGGGATGAGTTCTACTGACTCGTTTACGTCGGTGATGGCATGGGATTTCTTTCGAGGAGTATCGTTGCATGATTATGACCTCCATCATGGAATTTCCTCAGTTTAAAGACGATAAATGGGATGAGATGGATTCCGATGCAAATTTCGCGACCAAACATGCCGCTCAATCTACGTAATTTGTGTATGCATCACTATATGGAATCTCCATCTAACAGACAAAGCGAAATCCTTCCAAGTACGATGAGAAGTTAGACCTTGACAAAGTGTTGCATGAATTTTGCATCGTAGCATAAAACCCCGCCAGACTGAATAGCGACGTTCAACACGTGACAGAATCGGGGGGAAAATAGATTCGATGACCAAGCATGTACCTGGAAACTAATAATCGGTGAAGAATCAACAGAAAAAAGAATTTTCTTGACAACAAAACTTTACTATAGAGTTTCTCGCTTTGACAATCCATGTCATTTCAGAGATCACGTGGAGAGTTTGCTATCGATGCCCTGATGTGCTCATGTGGATGGCCTATTTTTAAGCAACTCTCTTGGTGATTAATTACACACCGGGACAGGTCCCTCCTGCAATACGGCTCATGCAGGCGTGCGCTTCAGCACGAGCAGGAGTCCACACAAGACGATCGCCCAACGGCACGAGAGGCTCGACCGAAAAGGTTAATTTGGATACTTCTCTCGGCCTATGGATACCTATAACAAAGAGGAAGCCCAGACGACATAGGTACCGATCGAAGACAGGTTCATACGCAAAGGCCGATGACAGAAGTCTCACGAGACAACGCAACATGGGGCACGCGCATGGTCCGTACAGTATATACAGCTTTATCAAAGTTCAAGCTTAAAAGGAGGGGCTAGGGGGAAACAAGACGGAGCTCAAGTGATCCAAGGTTCACTCCATTCCATGTGGCTCATATAGCCCTTTCGACCCAGACCGATTGAGTCACAGGGTGTTTACCCCACGGCTCCTGGTCTCGAGATTTCCGATAAGACTTCCACTCCATGCCCAGAATGACAAAATACAATCAGGCTAAGCTCACCCAATAGCAGAGAACCGGGACCATAACACACTGGACGAAGTAGGCGTAAGGAATCAACGAAACACCGATAAAGGCAAGGAGTCTCGTGAAAACTCCGTGCGACGTAAAGACGTCGGAGGCGGACGGGGAGAGGGAACAAGCTTGCCAGAGACGCCTCTTCCTTGCTTCGAAAGACAATCCTGCGTTTCTGCGAGCTAGCTTGCCACTAAACAACTCTCTCATTCTCAGCGTCTCTCCGTCAGCATGTCAGTCAACGTACGTGCAGTACTTTCTCTACGTCTTATACTTGCACAAAAGAAGAACTGACTTTTAGGAAGTCAAGGTCAAAAAGCCTTAGGTGTTTTCCTTCCTACAAGTTGGTATTTCTACTCAAAAAGCACCGTGTTTTCACGGCCAAACGTATAGTAGAAATTGGTAAACGTTTTCTCGTGGCAGTATGTTCAGAATGAATGGAGCTCCTCCAGACGGCGAGATACCTTTCTTGATATGGTAAACCATTTAGAGGGCGGAATCCAAACCCTCTCGTACTGATGCCAGCGAATATGGCAACGAGGAGACCACTGTTGTTGTTCGGCATGTTGGAGGAATAACTTCTTTCACGAGCACGATGCGAAGGAAGAGGAGGCGGCTTTGTAATGCCGTGCAAACTTCGAAGAAAGTTCTAAATGTAAATCCTGTTTTTTTGTGAAAACCCGATGGATTCATGCAACACCAGCAATCGTCAAGAGGGGAAATTTAGATGGAGCATTCAGGAGCATTGATTTTTCGATCGAAGAATGCCATGACCCATTCATGAAGCACTGAGAGCTTCACAAACATGCGAAGCTTTCTCGTTATGGAATGGATTAGTCACGACAGCTGGGCCCTTTCCCCAAATCGTTCGGATTGCACAATTAAATTTGTTTTAAAAGAACTATGCCTGATGTGGAAATAGAAGAAAGTAGTGGGGACTCGATAACCACCTCGAAATTCTAAGATCCCACCTCTTTTGTATACGCTCGGAAAAAACTCCTGCAACCTGATTCAATGATTCATCTAATTACCGGATGATATGATATTGTATTTTTTTATTTAAGTAGCAGCGTGATTTTTTCTTCACAGCATATGAATATTTATATTTTTGAACGTAATAAATTCCTAGAAGTCACCCGCTACATCTGAAAGTACATCGATCTAGTTCTGTCAGAACGACAGGGTAAGATCTGCAGGGTAAGTAACCCAATCAGCGCGCAATTTTTGCATTGCGATTAATGGCAGTTTCAAAAGTCTTTCCATTACTTGCATGCATGGGCTTGCACGCGGGCATAACGCTTCAAAGCACACTATCGTATCTCATTTTCTGAAGTGCTACGGTCGGTCTAAGATATGTGGCAGAACTTCAGGAGTGTGTGAGGAAATATTGGAACCAGTCGCGTTGCATGAAAAAGCGTGTGCCTCGCAACTCCCTCGGTGTCGACCTTGAGAACTGTTGGAGGTCAAGGCTACAACATCATCATTGATAACTGCTACTCGGCTGTGTGGCGAATGTTACGTCAACTGGGTTATCACCGGCAGAGTTGCTTGTTCTCTGTGAGGTTGTGAAGCGATGACTGTCTCCTGTACCAGGTACTAAAAAATCATAATACCATCTGAAATATCCCAGTTTTACAGTGTTATGGATTTTCCCACGACGAGATCGGAAGAGAGTTGGCTTCTTTAAGAAGGGATCCTCCACTCTGTTTGACTAGAGCAAGGGATTGACATACTTGAATCTGAGTTTTACCATTACAGATAACGGTGCAAAATGGCGAAGCCTCATACCGTGGCTGCAGTAGTCAAGAATTAAATGCTACCAAGCAAAATCAATATTAATAATTCCACATCGAAAGCTAGTGGCATCCAAATGAATGAGAAGTCATTCCTGCCGTGCCTACCGTAGCGTCTTACGCAAATGAATGCTAAAATGATGCAAATAATGCATCAGCTTATTGAACCTAATTGAAAATGTGGATCACTCAAGTCAAGGCCACAAGACTAAAAAAATCCATGCAAGACTTGTGCGAAAGCATGGTAATGATCGTCCGTATGAAGCTGCGAGGACTATATCATTACCCATAATTTCCATCATTCCAAAATTTATTTGCTACATCAACGCTTTTTCCTCTTCAATCGTAAACAAATGACATGTAGGTAGCCTATTGGGCCTTAAAGCCGTAGTTTCTCTTAGGAGTTTTCAAGAGGACAAGTGCATGCCTTAATTCAAGTGCTGCCAAGTCGAACTTGGCTTATTTCTAAATGTTGAAAAATGTTCAAGGTCTCAGTGGGAGTCTGATTTCAAAATTGCATAAGCATATTTATTGGACTGGTCGAACGGTAAATTTTTCTGCGACGGTTTTGCTTGTACCACAGTATTTCGATTCATTCATACGACAAGCAAATACGAAAAAAGGAACAGGAATTGGTTGGTTTGGTTGCAATGCATTTCCCTCAACCATTTCCAACAAATGTTTGAGCGGATATTGGTTTATTGCCCATGGAAACATCGCAAAAGGACATTCTGCAAGAATCCTCGTGTCTCTCTAGGAGTGACAGGAGCCCATCAGCAACCATGTAACATGTATTCAATGGCATATCAAAGACAGAAGATAAAAAAATGAGGGAAAATGTTCCTCCCATCTTACTCGTAGATAACAACATGCCCAAGGGGGAAAGGGAAGGATAAATGGGTATCACAGCTCCTTCTTGGTTCTGCCAGTGAATTCCTTCATGGTGTCACCAGCCCCGAATATTTCAAGAAGTTTGAATAGCCCATGGGTAGGTAAGATCCTAGAGTCAAGATGAAAGGGGAAGACTTTAAAACGGAATAGAAGTGGACATTTTCAGGTAGGTGGGCATGATTTGTAGACAAGGTAGCTGAATTGTGAGACAGACTCACGCTTTCAACAGTAGAAAGAGTGAAGCGTATCCTGGAATGAACACCATCTCCTGATCGGCCAGCACCCCAGACATGATCTTGTCGACTGCGTACTCTGGCTTCAAGATGGGGAGCATGCTTATTTGGAAAGGAAACAAGGAGGACGAATAAAACAACGTCTGGCCTAGAAATACAATGATGAACAGCGAACGTTAGCTATTTAGGCTTCACGATGATCCGTGAAACAGACTCTGGGAATTTTTTGACAACCATCGGATTACCATCATACAGGGCAACAGAATTGTTCTGCTAGTTCACTATGATTGGAATCCTTGACAATTTTCCTCGCATTGATTGCCTTAGAGGACATTCACAACTATGTCGGGATTGATACAATGTTGATTCCACCACACTCTTACACAAGTAATGGGTATGTATCCAGTAGTTCACCCACAACATTTTGGCTAAAATTTGCACAACTGTTTCTCCCAATCTGTTACTTCATTCCATTTACCTTATACATCCCAGGGCGTTCAATAAACATTTAAATTCGTTTTGAATCAATCCTTACTAATCGGCGAGAATGTCTACGAGTTGCTAAGAAAGTGTCTGTGCTATGTCGGCCTCTACGATCTGTCTCCGAGAGAAGAGGAAGAGCAAGAACAGGAAATAGATCCCATGACTATATCTTCGGAAGCAATGAGCCATGAATTCATTACGGAGTTCGTGCTTCATGAGAACAATTTTGAGCTGGCAGGGCTTCAACGAGTTAAGACTCCTCGTATAAAGAACTACAAGGTACCTTCAAAACGTTTCCGGACTTAGCCTATAGTAGCGCTGCTGTGGCATGACGCATGTAGAGGCATGTTGAGACATTCCTGCCACTCGCTCACAGACACCCGCACTGTTCAGTTCCCGTTTGGCTAGAAGACGTGAAGGTCGCGGTAGTCGAGCACAGTGTGTTACCGCTTCGAAGTGTGAAAATGTTTAGAGCAACGGGCCAGCATCAAATTTCGCCAGCGCTTGGGAAAATCGGCCACGGAAATCCTGCAGATGCTTCGGACAGGGTATGGCGAACAAACATTGTCGCGGACGCAGGTGTTTCACCGCTTCCACTTCAAAGATGCAGAGGAGATTGAGGCGACTTCGGAGACGGCGTTGAAGGAGGTGGCGCGTGGAGGCTTCCAGAAATGTTTCGAGGAACTGCAGCGACGCTAGCAGAACTGTGTCGTTGCCCGAGGGCAATATTTTGAAGGGAAATTGTGCATAATTGTTCCTAAGTGTCCGTGAAATGCTGAAATAAAATCAGTCCGGAAACTTTTTGAAGCTACCTTGTATTGTAATATATATGTTTTGCGTGATTCGTGAAACTGCTCATTGCGCAAGTTTTTGCCAAGTTTTTTGCCAAAAATGGCATGCTTGCGTATTTCATGAAGTGAGCAAAAACGTTGCCCATTGCGCGCATTCCACTTTTTTTCACGCAATAAGCAAAAGGAGTTCCGAGGAGAAGTTTTTCGACTCAATAAGATGTACCCATTATTTTCTCCTTTAAGGCTTAAGGTTTTTTCTCAGGTTGTGGCACAGCTGTCACGTGGACGCTGAGTTGGGGGTTAAACAGCTCACGGGCGTAACGAGACAGCGTAACGAGTGCTCCTCTTACGATGATGAAACTATTTCAAACAACGTAACTCTCTGTGTCACTGAATTTGAAGAAGACCGAGCAAATCCCAAAGCATAACTGGATTTGTTTTTGACGGGAAGCACACGATCGGAGCAAGAGATTGGGACGATCAACATCTGTATGCAAAGTAACAAGGTGGAATCGGTAAAAGCAAAAATCGTAAAAATGCAGGGCATCAACATCGAGGAAGAAGCCATTGCGAAATAGTTACTGCCATCTCGATACGTGGGAGGCAGGGCTTCAGAAGATACCTATGTATGACCAGGGGTCAAACCAAAACCAAAATCCCTCCTTGCAAGTAAGGAGGGATTAGATGTGAGAGCTCCTGACATTCTGGTAATACGTGCAAGAATCCCTACTGAATATTGTTTTGTTGATGGTGCAGTCAAATGGCCATTAAATCATTATTACATGGTCGCATCCTTTCGATAAAATTGTCATATGTTTTCAATGTAATTGACAGCGGATTTAATCAATTTGGTGATTGCTCAAGGCGTGCAATTTTTTTTGCCTATTTCACGCATTTTGCAAGAAAATTGCTCATTGGATGCAATGAGCACAGTTGTTGCATATGGGGAAAAACGTCACGCGATGAGCAGTTGCACAAATCACGCATAACAGATACATGAACATATTGACCATCTGCACCGTTTTGGTGATTTCATACGAGAATCTGCATAAATAGTTTCTAAAAGACTGCTGCATATTGCCTTTTTTTTTGCGCAATCAAGTAAACCTCGTCCCTCTCAAGTCTTCAATCTTGGCTCTTTCCCCTTACCTATTATGGGCATATTGGAATTCTAGCATTCATTTCAAAGGACCGAGTGTCTATTTTCGTTCATGCTATCCTAAGGTCCTCTCATCTCCAACACTACGGTATTCTCCTCTGTGTGATTGATGTGGGGTAAATAATACAAGCAGAGCATTGTGGGACAAATCCGCATATTTTGGGCCAAAACTCAAATTGTTGAGACAGGGATGAGGAACACCCGAGAACATTACATTGTTGGATAACGTAAATAAAAAGCATTTATTGCACGAATAAATGAAGGTAATCATTTAATTTAAAAAAAATTATAGTATTTAAAAAATTAACCTTAACCAAGAACTCAACATTGAGAATTAAAGGAAAAAACTCGAACAGAGAGTACGCTTTCCCAGAAAAAAAGGATGCATGATTATTTTGCTGTGATTCATTTCCACATAAAAAATATACACCTACTATGCACTAACATGATGCTTCCTATGGAACATGTTATTCCTTTTGATGATTTTCCCTCTGTATAGTTTCAGGTATTCGTTTCTAGTTAATGGGTTTCTTCGGAAACTTGACCAATTGATAGGACCATGGATGAAGAAACACCAGAACCGTAATTAAGGGACTTATGGAAGTACTTATGACATCGTGGAATTATGGATAGTTATTATTGTTTACTGGCGGGTGTCAATTATCTGCTTGTTCAAATGGTAAGCCAGGCCAGCTGGAAACGTTACAGCAAAAATATAGGTAAGAGTAGATGCTGATAATAATTAAAACCTAGCAGGGAGTTGCGGGATATTATTATATCCCATTTCATAATTAGCCTTTGCTCGCTAACATTAAAAAATGAACCCTTAGAGTTGAAATTATCATTGTTGTTCAAGAGTACCAGAGGGCATCTGCTCCATTATTGCATTTGAGAAGAAGCTCATGGATTGTCACCACGGCAACATGAATGACAATTTTCCATTAGCAATGAACATTCATGGTCTATTTTAAAAAATCTGAGAATTGACATGTTAAGACAAGAAATCCCGTGTTGGGGTTGGCTCAATTGTGGCTCTTCTGAATCCCATGACAGTTCCGTATTAACGAAATTAAAATAAAGTAAAATTCAATAGTCATACTTTTGCCTGGGTTTTCACTTGTGTTAGCCCACTACAAAGGTGTGAAATCCATTGCATACCCATTTCTTGCCCAAGAGTGCGGTGCAGTCTTGCAATGAAGCCTCTGCGGTTTCTGAATCTTTCAAGAAATAACTAACGGACTTTTGACGCCTTGAGTCATCCTCGTGTCCATGAAACATGGGCAGACGACTGTGGTCTTTATTCCTTCATGGCCATCCGTCTGCAAGAAAAGAGAACACTAAACACGCGGAATGATATGAGATTGAATATTGCGATGCTGCAAGGAGTTCCTACTTTATCCTTGAGAGTAATACGGAGACAACAAAATGGGAATTTAGGGACCGTAGGAAAGCAAGTTAGCCAAACCTTAGAACCGCTAGCGCGAGCCGCTGACGAGGAAACTGTCAAATGGACCGATGATCGGGACCTGCATTTTTAAGTATCAACTGAACACTGCAGTATAAATGAAAATGCCTCAGTTAACACAAATTTTGAATTTTCTTGCCGACGATGAATTTACAAAGGTCCCCATCCCTATTAATTCAACCCAATGATGCATTACGGAACAGTATGCAGCGCAGAGTTAAACCTTGTTTCTTTAGTTTTACGTATGTGATCTAATGCGAATTCATGAGGATTTCACTTCTGCGATTGAAAAAACCGTCTCTCAGCTCTCATTTCCACCTTCTCTCAAAACAGCTCTCGTTTCCACCTTCGACGTGACGACGTGCAGTCGTCACGTCGTACCAACATTTTCTACTGCCTTTGCTTATGGCACTAGAGTATCAAACGGACGACGAGCGTAGCCAGGGATCCCAGCTCATGAGATCAAATTCGTCAAAATATAAAAAATACGTTTTTCTGGGTTTCACTCGAAACGCCTTCTTATAAACACTCCAAGCTAAAAGAATATCTATGAATATAGGACATCCGTATCTCTACTGAGGTTTCATTCGATTGTGAAATCTTGTGTTACCTGCACGCATCATAGAGCGTTTATGGGTGTCTCTGGAGAGGCCTTCCTGCCTCAAGAGGTACAAGTGCCTCGGCCCTCTTAGGACTGAAGTCGCACGATGGAGCGAATAGCGTGATGGGATGGGTGCTGGCGTGAGGGGCCCCCGGGCATTGGGCCCGGGGAAAATTACCTTTTTTGCCTCCCCTTCTCTATGGGCCTGCTATCAACTCCCTCGTGCGACTCCAGTCCTAAGGTGGCGGGGCTGCCTGGAGAGACTCGCCGCCCGCTCGGTAGGGGAGGCCCCTCCATTATATACTCTCTATGGCACACACTGGTACCTTACCAGAATTCTAATTCCTTTAGAGCGATCTAGAAGCATTTCCACTTGATGTTTTTGCAACTTTCACAGTTTCACTTTGGTCACAAAAAAGTAACATTAGGAGGCAGCCACAAATTCATTTTTCAAATTGTTTTTCAAATTTTCTCCCCAGTCCCTTGACGTGACATCAGTATGAGAAAGTCTTCTTGCCATATCAGTGATACCACAGCTGGTCAATTTCACAGATCTGTCAGTAGAAAAACTGCTTGGGCTATTGTTCCGATAAATCCATGATTGATGATTGATGCAGAAGCAACCTAGAGAGATATGAATAACGTATACCTTGAGTTCAATACGGAGAGCTTCGTCGAAGCCAATGACTGCAAATTTGGAAACACAATAGTCAACAAGTCGATTGATGCCCCAGAACCCAGCGAGACTTGCGATGGTCACCACATGACCTTGTCCCCGCTCCAACATCCCGGGCAAAAATGCCTTCGTGGTCTGCGGAAATGAACGTTGCTCGGTTTGAGACTGGTCTCCGCTTCTCAAACTAGACACTGTCGTTGAGGCAAATCATTCATTGGCGAATCGATGAGACCAGATGCTGCGCAGCGTGATGGGTACTACTGTAAAGAGTAACCGCCAATCAGATCGCTCGTCGGCACTGAAATCATAAGCGGAGTACCCATAAATGGGCGATGGCGTTGACGTTGATGGTGCGCCGAATGGCATCATCGGAGCAATCCAGGAATCTCTTCCCCGTCATGACCCCTGCATTGTTGACCAGGATCGTGACCTTCCCGACTTCTTCCTCCACTCGCTTTGCCGTCTCGTAGATCTCCTCTCGGTTGCACAGATCCACCTGGTACGCATGCGCTGTCCCTCCCTCTGACCGGATCATATTCACCGTCTCCTCGTTCCCTGACAGCGGAAACAATATACTTGCACGTCATTCAGAATGCTACAGTTGCTCAGAGTAAATATGTACGGCATGCCGGGAGCACACCCTTGCGGATACACAGATTGTTTCTAATCTGGTAAAAAAATAAATAAGTGCATGGACTATAATGTAATCTTAGAACAGCAAGCAGAACAGTATGCTGGCAAGGGGGACTCATTAAGTAGCGACAAAAGAAGAAAAGAATGGCCTTTGGTTTGTCACGAAAGTGTCGCTTTCTTCGAAGGACAGGAAATGAATAACGATAAACACAAACCAGCAAGTACAGTTCAGACAAGACCATTTCCCATCGGCAC